TTTTCCTTCTTGTCACCATCGTTCTCCATTTACATCTTCCTAGCCTCCATCTCAATGCCCCAGACTACTCTACACTACATCACGAAGAACATATATATACAAGCACATTAAACACAAATAACTAGCATCTTGAAGCATATTTGAACTTCATGTGTGTTGCGTTGTGTGTGTACATATGTATTCATAGGTGGGACCAGAGATGGGATGGGGTGTTGATTTCAGACTAATAGACAACGAGGGGGGAGGGAAGCCTGGAAGGATGGGACCAAATTGGACAAAGAAAATGATAAAAGATTGGGATTTAACGGTGTTAGAGCATGTGACCAATTTTGCAACAAAATGCATACCATAGGGATAGTGAGTGTAATTATTTGACTTTAGGGACTAAATCCATAACTTGGATTAAAAATTCCCTATATAAAGCCAAGACTCTCGTGGGACTCTCGCATATATTTTATTTTGTAGGCGAAGATAGGAGATCCGGCGTAGGATGATTCTTCTTCTTCTTCTTGTGTTTGCATTTAGATATTTGTTTTGTTGTTATTATATATAAATATACGTACGTATATATGTATCTATAGATATACATATGTGTATATGTATCTATATATGTATGTACAGATGTGTATATATATGTATATATGTGTATATGTATGTATATACATATGTATGTTGTGTACATATGTGTATATATATATATGTATAGTACGTGTTGATTCGTGGTTGATGATCCCTTGACTAGAATCGATAATGATGCAAACGAACCCTAGACCTAACCCTAACCCTAACCCTAGCCCTACCTAACCCTAACCTTAACCCTAACCCTCTCACTTTCTTATATATTCACTTTACGTGTTGATTCGATTGGTTGATGATCCCTTGACTAGAATCGATAATGATGCAAACGAACCCTAGACCTAACCCTAACCCTAACCCTAGCCCTACCTAACCCTAACCTTAACCCTAACCCTCTCACTTTCTTATATATTCACTTTACGTGTTGATTCGATTGGTTGATGATCCCTTGACTAGAATCGATAATGCTGCTGATGTTGTACAAGTCCTACCATCTATCTGCAACAGAACCAAATGGATGTGTAAAACAAGAAAAGCAAGTGATGGTTAATATATAGTAACAAGAAGAAATAGCATCTTATGCATATTAGCCATGTAACAGATATGGCCGATTCGCATGGACATACCGAACAATAGCTTAATCGATCGTACAAGGGCTCAGCTAAAATACCACCATCTTATCCACTCAGCCATTACTTTTCCTCAACTACACACATTAATTGAAAAACACACTAAACACGCAGATAACCATTCTCCAAACAGCTCGTTAAATCCTCCATCTCATTCAGCTTCGATTGCTATTTGAATCCTCCATCTCATTCAGCTTCGATTGCTCGTGCTCACACAGCTTCGATAGAGGGAGTTCGGCTAGTGGAGAGTGAGAGAGAGATTTCGACAAGAGATGATTCAAGGTGAGAGAGATTCCCCGAGAGGGTGACCGGGAGTTTTAGTTGTTGGCTTGGTGGGGGAGAGAGGAGTCGGTGAGCAAGATAGAGGGAGTTCAGGGAGGCAAGCTGAAGAGAGGGGAGGTGAGAGAGAGAAGAGAGTTCGGGGAGGCACCAATCAACAACATTGGCAAACATCAAGAGCATCCCCTTTGCCCACCAGTTGCCTAACATCAATAATTTTATACCTATTATAATTAAACTTCATTTACTCAATATTTTTATCAAACACTACAAAAATATAAACTAGGGGTAAAATGGTCATGACATTCAGACAACAAGATAATCGTACAATAACTTATTTGTTAATAACTTATTTGTTATCATCCACACAACTTTATATTCTTAATAGAAAACGAACAAAACAACCCCTTAGCATTGGAATGGTGATCATTTCATTAACATCTCTGGCTAACCAAAGAGTTTTAAAGTTAATTAGAAAGAGCATCTTAACATTTTCTGATGATTCACTTTGCTTCAACAGTCATCAACTAGTCATGGTCCTATTTTTGCCCTTTCTAACAAACAAACAAGTAAATCATTAACACCACTCTCATTGCAAATTCAATATCAATCTTTCTTTAAAATATAAAAAAGAAAAGAAACATTGATAAGAGGTGGGTAGGAATTGCAATGCCTTTTAATCATAAACATATAATTACACTACTTAATAATTCCTAACACATGTCATCACCCAAATATTAGCTCCAAGACTGCTTATAAAAGTCCCAGCTTCCTTTCAAGTCTAGCTATGGATGGTTACAGCAAGTGCTTATGAGTATAGTTTTCGTGAAAAACCCAGTTTCTTATCCAGACTCGGTAGCTCATGACGAAACTCAACCACAGACAAGAAGGTTGCGATTGAAGATGAGTATGAAACTACTTTTTCTTGACGATGTGCTTAGTTTTTTTTTTACCACAAAATCTTTGTTGGAACATATATATTTAGACCACTTTTTTAATGTCACTACCACAAAATTTAGAATATGATCAGATTATTATGACGACTAACTTCTTTAAAATGCTAATGAAGTTTTCAATCAAAAGTAGCTTCTAAGCAAACATTGTCTTCGATCTCTATGATTGCTTCATCTGACACATCCCTTGAGTCAGGATGAGTATGACTATTATTATTCACAATCCTATTCCCGCCCTCAAAATGCTATAAACAAAACCCTATTCTCATTCTATAAGCAATAGGAAGTAGTCAAGAATCATACCTCATCCTACCACAAAGAAGAATCCACTTCTCGGCAGCTTTGCCTCACATTCCCATTGGCTCCCGTTAGCACATTGGTACTCGAAAGCTTCATCATTGCCTTGCCAAAATCTCTACGAAACAGTGAAACATCTGATGCGTATTGTCTAACCCAACTTGCAGTCTCTTCCCCAGCTGTCAGCTGCTGATCTACAAACAGGATACCCCTACCCTGCAGCAGGCTGCGGTAGTAAAGAGTGCCAAACCCTGCTCCTGCTCCTTCATAGTCCATCTTCATTGCCTGCTCCTGGCGACTCTTTGACGAAGATGGTGATGATGGTGATAGTGATGGTGATGGAGATGGGGAGTGGGTGTTGTTGCATATGGATCGTAGGAGCTCAGCAAAATCACCATCCATAGATGGGTCTGGCTGATCAGTGCCACCAAATTTGTACAGCCTCTTTTCAAAGAACCTGCAGTGAATCTTTCCAGTACTGTGGGCACCTACAAAGACATGGAGAAAATCCTTTACCAATTGTGAATCCACTAACATTATGCAATTGCTATGATGATGTGGAATCAAAAATAACATACATATATGAAGCACAATTGAGATAATTGCATGATTTAAATACCTAGGAGACTAACTGTTTCTTTTTCAGTAAAACCCCTTGTTGCGAATCTTGCAATGTTTGTGGGAAGATCATCCATAGGACTAGGAAGCTCATATGAAATGTCAGGGAAAGCACGATTGCTATCTTTCCTACCGGTTAGAACCGGATAAAATGGTCCACCAGCCTGTAAATAAATGATCAAGGTACTACTACTCAACAATGTTATCCTCTCAAATAGTTTATAAGGGGAATATGATAGTTACCAGTATGATGCTGTCACGAGCAGCCACCACAAGAAGATCAGCACAAGAAACGACACCAGGGCATACAGTTTCTAATCCAGACTTGATGGTGTCAACATGATCAAATCCCTTCAAAGACTGATTTGGAGGAGTGTCTTTCTCACTCCGCATTATGTCAGTGCCATCCAAAAGTACCGAAGCATCACATCCCTAAACCGTGTTTCAATGAAACCACTAGTATAAATTAGATAGGACGGTAATCAAAACCTAGATCGGTGGGGTTAACGTTCAATTAACAATGAATAGAACTCTACTCTCTCAATTTTATGTTACATGAGTAGAATCAGCAAACTGGAATTTGATTTTTTTTAACACAATACACAATCAATCCAGGTGAAAAAGGATATGAAGATTGACGCCTCTATTATAGAAATCAAAGTCTTAGATACAAATCTCCGACCACGGAAAAGAGGATTAGAGAAACACAGTAAGCCAGAAACTGAGAAGTAGTAAACACATACATCAAGAGATGATAAGAATAGTAGTAGTAAGGGACCTGTACGAAACAATCGTGAAAAACCAAGCGAAGAATTGCTGGAGCAACTCCTGGATTTTGATCATAGATCCGGCGTAGGGTTGAACTGATAATGTGGTCCGCCTGAGGGCATGATCCTCGATAATACTCGTACTCAAGGGAAGAATTAGATGAAGAGAGAAGAAGACAGAATCCAACTAGAAGGAGGAATTTCTTGGTTTCCATGGCGGATCTCCGGGATTAGAAGCAACCAGGCTCTCTGCGTTTTTGTTGAGCCAACAAAATTAGCGGGAATCCACCCTGTATGATTCCAGAACTGTGTGTGCATCAATTTATTATAATACCCTTTTGATTAATTAAAATCGTCCATCAATATTAAATCTGATGTTACACTATTTCTTAATTAATTGTATAACATTTTGATTTAGCTCCATGTAATTTTTTTTATTAACTTGTTTGTAAGACCCGACTAATATTAGTGTGATCATCTGTTTTGTGGGTAACGTATTTGAACCTCTATAGACATAAGAGAATTTTTATTACTTCTTGGATTTGAACAAAAAATCTTTAAGAACTTTTGACATTTGGAGTCAAACTCAAACCAACCATGCACCACTCTTGTGCTTTGTAAATTTTATCCTACATTGTTTATAAAAAAATTAAAATAAATGCTTGAATAAGATATAAATTGCAACTATATATTGATCAGATGTATTTTTACATGAACTGTTAAATATGCTAAATTATTTGGATTTTATATTTTACTATTGCTATTTTTAATGGATTTTTATAAGGCTCCATTTGGTACATTAGATTTGATATGAAAAAAAAAAAAAAAAACCTCAATGTTCCATGTTTGATGGGACATTACATAGAGATAAAGACTAATTGGATAAAATGATGTTTTTTTGTTCGACCGGTGGAACAAGGTAGGGACAGTTAAAAAGTTATCAATCTACTTTGACTTGAAATAACTCTAATATGCTATTTGGTATAATAGTCACCATTGTCCATCACTACTGTCAACACTATCGACAACTACCATCGAGCACCTCCACCATCATCGGCTACCACTACCATCGCTCACCACCACCTTCACATCCACCTCTGTATCTACTATTGGCTGTCCGTCACCTTTAATCACATTTAATCTCAAACTCACCCATGAATTATGTTTGAATTGGGGGTTCTTCCGGTGCATCTCATCCTAGTACGCAGTTAAGGGTGAAGATAATTATTACGTTTATCACTTTAACTCTAAACTCACTCATGAATTACAGTTGATGTGAGATCCTTGTTACGTTTCTTATCTTTTAACTTTATTTTTCACCGGAGCCCAACCCAATAAATTAGAATTCGGATGTTGGATGAGGGTCTTGGGTTTTGAGGAATTTGCTAAAATCTCTCCCTCTCATACGCTTTGTTTATGTTGGGTGTTTGTTCATACTCAGAGAATTTCGTAACATAACCTTGAAAATAACAAAAATCATCAATGGAGGCGGATAAACCGTCACAGGCGACAACCACTTCTAATAAAGGATTCACCGGCGCTGCCGGAAGGAGGGGCGGAGACAAGAAAAAAGCCGTTCAGAAGTCCGTCAGAGCAGGCCTTCAATTTCCTGTGAGTCGTGTTGCTCGTTACCTGAAGAAAGGTCGTTATTCCGAGCGCACCGGCATCGGTGCTCCGATCTATCTCGCTGCTGTCCTCGAGTACCTAGCGGCTGAGGTAAATCTCGATTCATCCATCCTCTACTCTTGCATACCGAAACAATTCTCTGTCATAATGAAATCGAATCCAATCGTATTGATTTTTTTGCTTAAATTCAAAAAATATTACGAAATCGTGATCACGTATGGCGATTGATCTTCGGTTTTTCTACGATCCAACATTTCGTTTTTGGTTTATTCATCTCGCATCTCAAATGCTCGTTCTATCAACACTTTCTTTGTCGTAATTTTAACATTTGAAACTCATTCGTTACCACAATTTCATGCGATCGTAAATATATGTTCAATTGATTCATTCAATTTTCAATGATCACATAATCAATTCCATATTCGATCGTGATGTCAATGATAAGGTGTTGGAATTGGCTGGAAATGCGGCACGAGACAACAAGAAGAACAGGATAAACCCTAGGCATGTTCAATTGGCCGTGAGGAACGATGAGGAGTTGGCGAAGCTACTATCAGGTGTAACAATTGCCAGTGGCGGTGTTCTTCCCAACATCAACCCCATTCTTTTACCCAAGAAAGCTTCAGCTTCTCAAACCCCGATTAAGACCTTCGATTCAAAATCTCCCGCAAATTAGTTTCCTTTCTGTTGGTGATTGGTCTGTTTCAAGACCATCACCAATGGACCGTCAAATCACCAAATCTCCTGTTGATTTGCCTCCAAATTTTTTTCATATGGCCACCATTTTTCCTAGAAAATCATCTTCAGAATCTTAAATTATGTGCTTTTTAGAGTACGATGGAATTGGGTTTTACGTTTTCCTTTTTTATGTTAACGGGTACATCATAGTTGGCGTTTTCTTGAGAAGGTCGGAATGCGCTCTCTCTCTCTCTTCAAATCTTCTTAACGATGAGTAATGTGTTTGAGATTGTTTATTTAAAACAACTTATGTTTTTCTATAAAAGTGTTTATCAACTTATTATAAGTTAAAATGTTTTAACTTTTTTCAAATACTTCTTATTACCAGTTTGGTACCGGTATAAGTTGTTTATCCAAACACTCAAAAGTGCTTATTACCGGTACCACACCGGAATAAGTTAATAAGTTGTTTTTATAAGCAATCTCAAACACTCCCTTAATACGATAATCGTGATGTTTTATTGTTAGTCATTTGATTATAAAAATCTTAAAAAAATACATCATGTTCGATCAGAAGTAGGGGATGGAAACAAGTTTGAGTTTACATGACTTCAAGTTATCTTCGTGTTTGAATTACGATTTTATATAATAAACATTTTGACTGAACACATTAACATCACTTGTTGATTGTAATTTGATTGATCTTTAAGAACTAAGATTGTTGTGTAAATATAATTTGTTAAATTGCAACCTCTTTGATGAAATAAGATATGTATGTATTAAATTCTTTAAGTATTGTTGAATTGATGATCACGAACAAGCTTCTTGTGGGTAGTATGACATCAACTAATTCAACATTCTTGAATGTAAAGGTAGCCAAATGTGGTCCTGGATAGAACCAACATAGAATCGGTTTTGGTAAGGATCGGTTATAATCTGATAGTCACGACCTGGTGGCAAAAATCAAGGCTCGAAACCTGATATAACATTAGTTTACATATTTAATGATTATGTTTTAAAACATTTATTAAAGCAAAGCATAATAAAATGATTTAAAAAACAATAATGTAACAAGAAATGAGCTAAAAAGTTTTCTTTTACAAGGATTTGGATTTTGGCTAAGGTGCTCTAACCAGAGAAGAACATCTGGTCCCAACATAAGTTTTTATAAAAATCTTCTGGAGAAATACATCAAGTAAATCTATTAGTTATTCTTTCGTTTTATCACTTAGGATTCGTTGAATTTATCTGATCCGACAGTTCCGTTTGGGGAACGTTTGCATTGGATTAAACCACATGCTCCATCACTTGTGCGGGCCCCTGTCAATTCCTTTGAGTTTCATTCTTGCGAACGTAGTCCCTAGGCGGGATACGCAATGGAACAGTAGACAGTCAAGTGAAATCCAATCCACGAAATGATTTGGGCTATCAATACGATTACATAACCAGTCGATGCGTCCGTATGGACTGGATTAAAAGGATCAGTCATCTGAAAATTATGAGTCATTTCTTGTTGGATGCTTTTAAAGTTTTTTTATCAAGCTTTAACAAGTTGTACTATGTGTAAATTAAAAATATTTTTACCGATTAAACAGGTTACAAGTCATTTTTTTGTGGAAAAAATCCATTTACTAGGTTAGAATGTCCATAAATGTATTTGTTCAAAAAAAATTGTTCAATAAGTTAATCTGTCAAAACCCTTTGTGTTTTCAAGACTTTCCTTATATTTTATTATTGAGAAAAGCTAGTATATGGTCATTTTGGTATGAATTTTCTTATGTAATTGGTCCCCAAACTTCATTTATTACATAAAATGCCTTGAGTTATGCATCTTTTTCCACTTATTTGGTCCCTCGACCGTCCATTTGTTCCGTTAACTTTCAGGGTATTTCTGTCCTTTTATCTTTTTTTTAACATTTTGTCTTTTGTCTTTAACCAATTAAACAATGCCATGTGGCATGAAAAAAATAAATAATAATAATAATTTGTATATGGTCCATCTCTCAAAATAAGTACACTTAATATCCCTATAGTATGCAGTTCGTTACGAGTTGGATAGTTGTCACTAATGACGTTAAATCTAATCCAATTAACTTTAGGGTACTTTTGTCATTTTACCATGTTTTTTTTTGTAATTAAATAATAATAATAATAATAATTTATTATTATTTATTTTTATACTATGTTATACATACATACATATAGACACACACACGAGTAGTCGAGTACACCCATCAATGAACAATAAATCCCAATCTTTTTTCCGTTTCATTCTTACTCAAGAATTGCTTGCATTATATCATGAAAGCCTCTTAATTATTCTGATTATTTAATCATTTTACATCAAATCATTCAGGAACCGTCAAATAGGCCTTAAACTACAAAATAATTTTATAAAATTCTCTCCCAAAATTATGTATTTCCACTTTGGAGATGCTCTAAAGTGAGCTTGCATACTATCCTGCTTGTTGGTTTCCCGCTCTTTTTGTTGGCTTCACAAATACACACACAGCCTGAGACATCCGCCATGGAAACTAACAAATTTCTCCTTTTTGGATTCTGCCTTCTTATCTTCTCATCCTATTCTTCACTTGAATACGAGTATTATCGAGGATCTTGCCCTCAGGCTGACCACATTATTACTTCAACCCTACGCCGCATCTATGATCAAATTCCGGAGCTGCACCAGCACTTCTTCGATTGTATCGTACAGGTCAATTATTTTATTATCATCATCATCATCATCATCATCATCATCATCTCTTTGATGTATCTGCTTACAGCTTTTGATTTTCTTCTATTTTGTGTGTTTCTCCAATCCTCTTCTCTGAAGATTTGTTTCTACGTTTTTGGTTTCTTTCATGTTATATTTTCAAATTCCCGTTTGCTGATTCTAATGATGTAGCTAGCATAAAAACTGATAGAATGTGTTGTTCATTGCACGCCGATCTAGTTTTCTATCTAATTAATTAGTTGAAACACGAATTAGGGATGTGATGCGTCCGTACTTTTGGATGGCACTGACACAATGGAGAGTGAGAAAGACACTCCTCCAAATCAGTCTTTGAAGGGATTTGATCATGTTGACACCATCAAGTCTGGATTAGAAACTGTATGCCCTGGTGTCGTTTTTTGTGCTGATCTTCTTGTGGTTGCTGCTCAGTGACAGCATCATACTGGTAAACTATCACATTCCCCCTTGTAAACCATTTGAGAGGATAATATTGTTGAGTAGTAGTACCTCATCATTTATTTACAGGCTGGTGGACCATTTTATCCGGTTCTAACTGGTAGGAAAGATAGCAATCACGCTTTCCCTGACATTTCATATGAACTTCCTAGTCCCGTGGATGATCTTCCCACAAACATTGCTAGATTCGCAACAAGTTGTTTTACTGAAAAAGAAACAGTTAGTCTCCTAGGTATTTTGAATCATGTAATTATCTCAACTGTGCTTCATGTATGTACGTTACTTTTGATTCCCATCATCATTGCAATTGCATAATGTTGGTGGATTCACAATTGGTCAAGGATTTTTCTCCATGTCTTTGTAGGTGCCCACAGTACTGGAAAGATTCACTGCAGGTTCTTTGAAAAGAGTCGGTACAAATTTGGTGGCACTGATCAGCCAGACCCATCTATGGATGGTGATTTTGCTGAACTCCTACGATCCATATGCAACAACACCACTCCCCATCTCCATCATCGTCACTATCTCTATCGTCACCATCTTCATCAAAGAGTCGCCAGGAGCAGGCAATGAAGATGGACCATGAAGGAGCAGGAGAAGGGTTTGGCACTCTTTACTACCGCAGCCTGCTTCAGGGTAGGGGTATCCTGTTTGTAGATCAGCAGCTGACAGCTGGGGAAGAGACTGCAAGTTGGGTCAGACAATACGCATCAGATGTTTCCTTGTTTCGTAGAGATTTTGGCAAGGCAATGATGAAGCTTCCGAGTACCAATGTGCTAACGGGAGCCAGTGGGAACGTGAGACGAACCTGCAGAGAAGTCGATTCTTGTTTGTGGTAGGATGAGGTATGGTATTTGGCTAGTTCCGATTGCTTATAAAATCAGTTGTAGCAACTAGTGTTTTGTTTGTTAGTTTAATAATGTGGTCAGGAATAGGATTGTGGATAACAAATAGTCAAGGGAAGTATGAGATGAAGCAATCAAAGATATAACACAAGACATTTTTGAGCTAATCCAACATGAACCTTTGTTTAAACTTAGTCAATTACTTTATTTATCTTCGTTTAAGTCTGTTTATTTATGTTTGTTTACGTTCGTTTAATATCTTAACGAATGAACATGAATGAAACGAACACGCCTACTTTCTAAATGAATGAACACGAACACCTAAATTTTTGTTCGTTTGTTTGTTCAGTTAACTTGAAATTTGTGTAAATGAGTTTTGAGTATGTTACTTAGAATATGAATAAAACAAACGAGAATAGTGAGATATTAATGGTCGAGATAATTATGTATAACAATCCATAAATTCTATAAATATTGGTTTATGATTTTTGATAGACCCGATCTCGATTGTGTTACAATATTTGCACAATATCTTTCCATATCAACTCTTGCACATATTTGTTTGTTCCACTTTGGGCAATTGCAGATTCCAAGCATCAAAGATTTTTATGTTTTAAAGAGTTGTCACTTCTATGCAGGTATGCATGTTTTCTTCTTTTTCGTTTTTGCAATATTCACATCACTCACTTAACCATATTTAATGGTATTATTTTGCTTGAAAACGGTATCTTTCTCTTAATCGAGTCTTGAAGTCTGAAGTTTGCAGGTTTGCTGTTCAAGACTGGCCCATCCACAACGTGTAGTCAAAAAATTCATAACCAGTTGGTATGCTCTAAGTCAACTTTTGATTTTTTTTCGGTGGTGACATTGAAATTACTTAAAGATAGATTATATTGTGCACATGTAGGATGCTTGCAGGAACCATGTTAATCAGCTATTTGTATTAGAAGCAATCTGGTGATTCCTGCTCCCATTCAGGTTTATTTTTCAATCGATATTTGGTTTCCATCTTCACATCATTGCTTATTTTTGTTTTCAACTGCAATCGTTTTCTGTTTGCCTCTACATTTCAATCTCATCAATTGTGTTTTATCGTTTAACTTTGATTATTGTTTGTATATGGT